CCCAGTACCCCCTAGTAGTAGATTATTTGAAAATAAAAGAAAGCAAGCAGAACAATCTTCAGTGCTTCTGGCAACTTTAAATAAACCTGGTCCCAGAATCATTGAAGTACTTCTGCTTTGAGGCTTAGAAGAAACAGCTGAAAGTAGAATGGTTATAGCAATTTTGGTGGAGGAACCTGAAAATATTTTCTTTAGCTAGTGGTTTTCAGTTAGTGATGAATCAACCAGACCACAAATTTAAGTTTTGTGGATTTGCCACTAATTTACACAACTGTTTAATTTAGGGATTACAACTTCACATCTCCATAGGTTGAAAGTGCTTCACTCACCTTCTACCAGAGCTTCGGTGCCACAACTCTGCCTTCCATCCTCTATCATCTCTTCTTCCCTCTCCCTGTACCCACTCTGGTAACCAGCATATTATTTATAGAGTCTAAGAATTATTCTTGTTTTGCTGGTTTGTTCTCTTTGGTTATTCATATTCCACAAATACATGAAACCACATGGTAACTATCTTTCATTTTCTGACTCATTTCACTAAGCATTATTCTCTTAGAATCCATTTATTCTTCAAAGGTACTAGTTCATCTTTTTCATGACTGAATAGTATTCCATTGAGCATATATTCCAAATTTTTTTATTCAATTACTTGCTAATGGACATTTAAATGGGTACGTTGTCATGACTATTGTGAATCATGCTGCTATGAACAGCTTTGTGTATTAATTTTTTCATATTCTTTGGTTAGATATCTAGTGATGGTATTGCTGGAGCATGTGGTGTTTACATATTTTTGTGTCAGAATCTCCATAGTTGCTACACCAAAGTACATTCCCACCAATAATGGATGACAGTTCCTTTTCCTTCACATCCTCACAAACATTTGTTGTTTCCAGTCTTTTTGATGTGGGCTATTCTCACAGGAGTGAGATGATATCTCATTGTGGTTTTAATTTGCATTTTCCTCATATTAAGTGACATTGAACAATTTTTTCATGTGCCTGTAAACCATCTGAATGTCTTTTTCAGAAGATTACATTCTTAAAGAAAAAAAATTCGTATTTGATTTTCTTTTTCTTGGTGGACTATTTCTCTGAAATATATCAAATCTTTAAATATGAGACAGCCTCGTTCTTATTTACTGTGATATTTTTGTGCTATTTAACTTTACTTTTCCTTTCCAAATGTGTGATACATTCTTGGGAAAAGTTACCTTCATTTGAAAATGCTCCAGAAAAATAAAATAAAATTATACTTCTTAAAAATCTTATGCATGTATGTATGACTGTTAACAATGTATACTGTTAATGGTCTCAACTGTATTTTCTTTATCCCTAACCTGGAAAAATGTCTGATTTAGCCTTGTCTTCAGCCACATTGTTTTTTCTATATCAAGAAAATATTAAGTAAAATGATTAGATCAAAAATTGGTTGTAAACTATTCATTCTAGTGGTCGATTGGTTTAAAGTTCAAGGGCCTCTGACCCTCATAATGTAAGTGAGTTTAACTGGAATTTTGAACTCAGCTAATGAAATCTGCCGATCATGCTTTATGTGGGATGTTATGGCATTGAGTAGCTAGAGTCAGTAACTGCTCAAAATTAGTTACTCTAAATGGATACAAAGGTCCTTTTTTGTCCTTATTGATCTGACCTGTGCTCTGTTAAAGCAGTTAGGTAGTGGTTAATGCAATATCATGCTATTCGCTTTAACCTAAGAACCTGAACCCCATGATAATGGGCTTTAGTACTGATCTGAAGATTATCGCTGCCCTTCACAGCTATTCCTGTCTGTATCAGGATCATTTTCCAAATCACTATGATGGCAAACATTGATGCATCTTTAATTCTGTTGCCCTCCATGAAGCTTCCTCAAAATCAGTCAATCATGATGGCGGGCTCTTCTGGGTCTGCAAGAGATTCATTTCCTTTTCTATTGTTACCTTCATGGTCAACTACCTCACTAATGGCCTGGTATAAAAAATAATCTCCAGCCAGCCTGCCTGCTCATAGTGTTTCCTTGTTCTTGCAGTAGTAGGCTCCCTAGACCACCAGATTTATCAAGACCTGCCTTTACCCAAAAACTCTTGGTTATTACTCACAGAATAAATCCTGTCCTTATATCCTCAATTAATTTATCATTTTCTGTAGAGAGGGAATTAGACTTAATATGTATAAGTGCACACAACAAAACTAGCTTTTAATTAGTGTTTTTTTTTTTAAAGATTTATTTATTTATACAAGAACCGGGGTACAGGCCAGATGCGTGGGAGGGTGAGAGGATGCACCAGAGACAGAGCGGGGAATAGAACAGGCAGACTGAGGAAATACTCTGCTGAGGGGAGCTGCAGGCGAGACAGGAGAGGTCTGCCTCGCCACGTGGGCATCTCCGCTACCAGCGGGGATCAAACTGGCATTTGCAGAGGCTATGGACAGCTTCACAGTGCGGTACTCAGCCGCCTGTGCCACCAGGGAGGCCCTTAACTAGTGTTCTTGATTACATATTTTCAGTTGAGGATGGTTCTTTAAGCCTCACAAAGCTGCTTGATGTGGCTCCTCATAATTCTAAACTTTCCCTTTCCTTATGGCATTTAATATTTTTTGAAAACAGTTTATATTTCCAGCCTTTATAAGCAATACATACAATTTTAGCTTAATAAGAGAAATTCATGAATTCACTTGACCTTGGGAAACTGACACACCTTTCCTTATCATAATTCAACTCCATGTGATTAGGGCTGGGGACAGAAGGAGGAATTGAGGAGAAGGGTAGGAGGAGGAGAAAGGTAGGGGGGAGGGGGGAGGAAGAACAAGCTGATTTAACATACCAGGGCCCCCCTGGAGTTAAGACAGCGCTATGAAGCTATCACCAGCCACTGCAGCATGAGTTCAATCCCCAGCCGGCCAGGGAGGTGACCCACATGTCGCAGCAGATCTCTCCTGGCTTGCCCCCTGCTTCCCTCAACAGTGTATTCCAGTCAGTCTGCCTGTTCTGTTCTCACTCTTTGTGGTGAATCCGCTCACTCCCCTGCACCTCAGGTCTACACCCCAGTTCTTGTATGCATAAATAAATAAATCTTTTTTAAAAATTCTATTATAACTCTTTGTATCCTTCCGTCAGGACAGGTCACCAGCCCACGCCTTTTGGCTTCACTTGTCACATGACTTCCATTGTGTGAGCGTCTTGCGCCAAGAGTTTTAATATTGAACTTTTCATACAACATGGCCCATAAACAAGCCAAGTAGTTAACTGGTGCTCAGTCAAAGAAACAGGGATTCATTCCGGTTTCTGAACAGAAGCCAGCTGTGCTGGAGTTGTTGACAAGTGCATGCAAGTCCCCAGGGAGACAGCTTCTGAGGGGCTTTCAAGGGGACTGTCTTCTAGTGCTTTGGCTCTACATGGGAGCAGTGAGTGGTTTGGAGGAGCATCGCAAGGTTTTACTTGTACTGACTGAGCCTTCTGACATGACTGTGGACCCTTCATCACTCCTGCTCTGGCCACAGACTCTGTAAAAAGCACCCACAGACTTACTCCATTCTTACTTGTTTTACCTACTCTCTACCTGCATTTTATGGTTTGCTGAACCCTTTCCCTGTCTCCTCTGCCTGTCTTCTTTCTGTGTTGTCTTCCAAGCCTCTGCCTCTCTTGTCCCTCCATGAACTTTCTTGGCTCCCATCTCTTTGGGAGCTGGTTTTCAGTTTGGGAGTACAAACCAAGGCACGTGAGTTAGCACTGTACTGTAAAGTAAAGAACTTGTGCAGTTTCATCTTTTTTCCTCCTAAAATTATATTGGAGAGGCCCAAACAAGAAGGTCTTAAGGTTAAGGGTTCTGTGTTAGTGGTATTTGCCAGGGTAATAGATCACTGCTGACCTTTCTTTCTTCTCAAATTCTCCTCAATCTCATATAACATCCATTTTTGTTGGCTTTTCCATGAGAGGTGAGGGTCTCCTGATTGTGGTTCTGACAATGCTGTGTCGATGTGTGGTTTCTCCAACTTGTCACACTGAGGTGCCTCAGGACATCATCAGAATTGGAGGAGATGAATCTTTTCTGTAAAAATAGCAAGTTGTTTATAGGATGTCAAGCAAAAGATGCAGCTTATGACCTCCACCACCCCTAAGAACAGAGCAGACAATATCTTCCTTTCACTTAAAACTAAAATAAGCTGCTTCCTACCACTGTCATTCACAGAGCTAAATGAAATCAAATCAAGATGGAGAGTGAGTGTATTTTCATCTGGGAACAGAGAATATCCAAATGGTTGGATTAGCAGTTGGTGTGAGGTCTGGTCCACAGCAGGCAGTTGGAGAACACTGCTTCATTTGCTATTTGCTGAGTGGGGTTTGTACCACAAATTACTTTCATGGTGTCTTTTATTGAAATGGTAGTTGGAGGCTGTGTTTAGGAGCATTCCACCTACCCTTGTGCCTGCGAGTCAGAGAGAATTTGGCTTAGAAATAAGAATATGAAACCTGAATAGGGTCTATGTCTCCATTTTCTTTTAAAGATTTATTTATACATACAAGAACTGGGGTGTAAGCCAGAGGTGTGGGGGAGTGAGAGGATTTACCAGAGACAGAGTAGGGAGCAGAACAGGCAGATCTACTGAAATACACTGCTGAGGGGAGCAGTGGGCAAGACAGGAGAGGTCTGCTGTACCATGTGGGTCAGTTTCCTGGCTGGGGATCGAACTCATATTGCAGTGGCTGGCGATAGCTTGATAGGGCTATGTCTTTCACACATGCACCACCAGGGAGGCCCTATTCCTCCATTTTTAAGAACATGATTGATCAGAATGTATTACGATTGGATTGAAGTAGAATGTTGTCTGCTCTGCCCTAACACCCTCCACACTGTGCTAGTTTTCCTCCTCACCCTCCTCACTTCCTCTCTCAAGACACTGACCACTGTATGAAAATTTTACCTTTTCTGTATCTCCTTCATAATTGGGATTGTGACATAATCTGTACCCAAAATGGTCTGTGGTACATACCATTGTTGGTGCTCACTTGCAGAATGAATGAATGAATGAGTGTTAAGATGTTATGGTTCATTCCTTTTCTGCAAGTTCTTTAAATAAAAAACTGTAATTAATCTACCAATTATGTGGCAGGGATCATACAAGCTCTTAACAAAAGCCTGGTTCCCAGCACGCTGCTCATGTTCCGGGCATGCTGGGCCTGTTATTTAAAGAGATGTGCTGGGAAAGTCTTTACTAACCCTCTGGATTCAACCAGAGAATGTAAAATTAAAGCTTCAAAACCAAAAGAGTAAGTACAAAAGTTTTCTTGTTATTCCCATACTCAGGACAGATCTCTTTAAACTGGGTGGGCACTTGCAGATACCACTTCAGTTGGATAAACTCAAAAAGTTGGATAATCTCATAAAGTTGTTTAGACTAAGGAAAATAAAGGCATTTTGAAGGCCGGGAGAAGCAAGTGAGTTAGTCTGAAAAATATCAGCTGTGCTAATGCTCATAATCTTAAGTCAACGATATTTTCTGTGTCCTTTTTAAGTTGCATATTGACAACTCTAGGATTATCATCAGTATTCTGGGTTCTTATAATTTAATATTATAGCAGAAACTTCCTCCCAGTTTCAACATTATCATTTTAAATAAAGCCATATAATTCTGTTAAATCAGCATGCTCTAATTTGGTTGGTTGGTGGTTTGGGTGTTTCTAGTTTTTATTATTATGAACAATATCACCACAATCATCATCTGTATACAAACCTTCTTCTTTTCCTTTAGGATAAGTATGATATCCAGGAGGATAGGCATTTTGATGACTTTGGATATCTATAGTTAAAATTTTTTTTAAAAGATTTATTTATTTATACAAGAACCGGGGTACAGGCCAGATGCGCAGGAGGGTGAGAGGACACACCAGAGACAGAGCGGGGAACAGAACAGGCAGACTGACTGAAATACACTGCTGAGGGGAACAGCGGGCGAGACAGGAGAGGTCTGCCGCGCCATGTGGGATTCTTGCCAGCCGACTGGGATTGAACCCATGCTGCTGAGGCTGCGGACAGCTTCACAGTGCAGTGCTCAACCACCTGCGCCACCAGGGAGGCCCTTGCTAAAATATTTTTTAAGGACTGTAATGAATATGCTTTGGGAATATTTTAGCTCCCTTTGAAACCTGTGTGTTCTGCTTAATGATACCACTTTGTGATAATCTGTTCTTGTTATAAATCTGAAACTGTAAACTCCAAATTGCTTTCTCTATAACTTGCCATGTTATAGATTTAAGACATTTTAAATCTAGGTTCCTAGGAGGTTCAGTTTCAGTTCTGTATCACATTCAAGGGAACAACTTCAACGGTCAAAAACAATTGCGAAAAATTAGTTCCTGTGTTTATTGTGATCTCTTAAAGAAGATCAAATGGAAGGTCTTAAGATTATTTTTCTTTTCTTTTCAATTATGCCACATGCTACAGTTGCTTGAAGCCACTCCTTCTCTTTCTTTATATTACCATCTCATTTCTAAATGGCTTCTTTGTCCCCTTTCTGCTGGCACATACTGTCTAGCTCATAGATTAAGCTGTATTCCCCTGAATCCCCACACCCTACAAGTGACCCTTTCATTGCATAGAACCTCCCCTGAGAAATATAGTCTGAATGTTGTCTGGTGGACATTGTCACACCCAGACTCACATTTCACACAAGAAGAAACCCTGGAGCTGACCAGGTAGTGGGAGACCCTGAGCAGGTAGTGGGAGACCATGTTTAGTTGCCTATTAGAATTCTGTGCCTTCATGGGTAATAAAAATAATAACAGCCATACTGCAGTGTTTACCCTAGGTGAGATGCTATTCTAAGTATCTTACTTGCATTTCACTGACCCATTATCACAACCTAATTAATGTTACCAACTCCATGCTTTAGATAAAAACACTGAACTAGAAAATGTTTTCAGTAACTGTCTCAATGTTGTGTAGTCAGTGACAGAGCTGGGATTTAAACTAAGTGACCTGACTTTAGAATATGGTTTCTTAATACCTGCACTTTACTACTTAAATTTCTATTTTAGCTTATCTATATACACATGCATATGTGTATATGTCCATGTACATATAGACATGTATACAGACACACATATGTGAGATGTATACATTTTCTTTATTTTATCAAAATATAGAACAATAACTGAAAATAAATTGGAGCACACATTTCTTATGAGTTACCTTTTTTAATTTAAAAATCACTTGGATTTGTTGTGCTGCTCTCTCCACCAGTCCACCTGCCTGATCTTATTGATCTAGGCCAGGGTCTCGCTTTTATTACTTCTTGTTATGAGAAAGCCCTATTTTGACAAGGTCAGTGGAAAGATAGAATCCATCTTAGAAGCTGGGACATAAATCTAGTAAAAAAGAATTTGCTAGTGTACTGAGGGAGAATGGCTGCTGAGCCTCGGAAAGAAAAGGATTGCTAATTCAAGTTTGCTTTCTGTTTTTCCCAATTCCTCAAGCAAATGCATACATCCTGCCCAAAGGCTGGGTTTGTTTCCATCCATCAGTTTTCACCTTCTATATATAGTTTTACAAATATGCCAATTACTTGGTTTGGTTAATTGTTTGCAGCCCAGAAACAGTGTATGATGCAGTGATCCGATAAGAATCCCATTTTCCTTTGAACAAATTGCTTGCAAGTTATGAACACGTCATTGTTAGTTAGAGAGAAAAAGGGATTTTTGTTGTTGTTTTGTTTGAGAAGAAAAGATCTAACAATTTAAGTCATTCTTCAGAGTAAAAATTGACTTTAAAAACATCATTTGAATGTTCAGTTTGAAACACTTCAAAGATGAATGCTTACTGAGAAAAGACAGCGGTTCTCCAGGTTTTTATAGTGGAAAGAAGGCTGGAAAATGAGTCAGGAGGGCTGAGGTCAAGGCCATTTTGCAGATAATCAGCTGCTTTGGGGTTTCTTATTAATTCTTCTGAGTCTTACTATCTTCATTAGTAGAGATGAAGGGTAACACTCCATAATTTCCATACCTTTCTTCATATTTAATATATGCAAGATAAATGTCTGTACTCGATAATCATTAAGATCCTGCCTGCTACCTGACGGCAGGACACAGGGCATCCTGGACATGTCTGCTGGGGCATAGGCAACCTCCTCCCTGCTTCGTTGCCCCTCACTCTCCCCAGGCTCTTCCTTACTAGTCCCAACTGGCTGGTTCAGCCTGAAGTTTGCCTAAGATTCATTTCTTAAGATTAGACACTTGGTAAAAATAAAAATATTTGAAAGAGGACCATTGCCATATTATGTAGTGCATTTAACTAGTCCAATAAGCAGTAGTTTAGCAGATAAGCTATTCAAGAGCGGGGTTCTGGGTATGTATAGTATGGTGGGGAGGAAGGTAAAGAGGAATGATATGGTCCTGCCTACAGTGGACCTATCAGTAGTGGCAGAGAATGAGCAAATCTGCATAAGTACCAGACAAGCATTGTGAGTGCTGTAAGAGTTCAAATAGAGACAGGGACTGCAGCGGCCAGGGAATTTTTTTTTAAATTTGAGGTCAGATGTGAATATGACTTTGAAAGTTGGTGGACCTAAGAAAAAAAAAGACAAATGCTAAAGGGCAATACAGCTTTTGCCTGCCATGGCATGGCATGGCATGGCATGGCATGCCTTGGCATGGATCAAAGCTTAGAGGTGTTCATAACAAAGACAGATTGGGAAATATAATTCTCTAAATATGGGGAAACCGTGACTGTAAAAGATAGACAAAGTCAATTAAATTTACTAGGGTAAAAAAAAAAAAAGGGTAGGGAGTGATCATTTGTTCTTGAAGGAGAATTTCAGGAACTTCAAGTGGCAGGGTATCCCAGATAGTTTTCAGGGAAAACAACCCTTAAGGTTTCAGAGCTTTAACCCCTCCCCCCTTGACTATTATTGAATGAGTGTTTTTGGAATTTGATCTGATGTCCTTCTAGGAAGAAGCATTGACAATAAATAAGCTTGCCAACAAAAATAAGCTTCTTGGGAAGAAAGAGGAAATGTTTGAGAGATCTTAAAGTGAAGGGCGAGGGTAAGAGATGCTGGCTAACGTCTGCTTCTCCAGTCCCTGTGACGTTTTTGTTCATCACCTTCCCTCTTCTAATTTTCCACCCCTTACAAGTGAGTAAAATGTTAAACTGTGATGGGTCACAGTTGATTTTTGGGTTATGTTTTGCTTCTCACAGTTTTAAAAAATATGGGGCCTCCCCTGGTGGTGCAGTGGTTGAGTGCTGGGCTGCGAAGCTGCCCGCAGCCTTTGCAGCGCTGGTTCGATCCCTGGCCACTGGTGAGGGTCCCACATGGCACGCAGACCTCTCCTGCCACGCCCGCGGCTCCCCTCAGCAGTGTATTTCATCGGTCTGCCTGTTCTGTTCCCCCCTCTGGCTCTGGTGAATTCTCTCACCCTCCCGCACTTCTGACTATACCCAGTGCTTGCATAAATAAATAAATAAATAAATCTTTAAAAAAATATATGACAACTATAGAATTCACCTCATCCTTATTTCTCTGTCCTCTCATTTGATGAGGACATATTTAACAGGTTCCATGTTGGAATTATCAGTAAGTTTCTGAGTCTTAGCATCTGTTGTGTTTATCTGTTTCTATATAATGAATCTCACCAAAACCTAAAGGATTAGCACAACAATCACTTATATGCCTAATGAATCTCCAGTCTGAACTGCGGTGAGTGGGAAGACTCATCTCGGCTCCACATGCCTCAGCTGGGGCAGGCCAACTGGAGACTGGAGGATGCACTTCCAAGATGGTACAGTCACATGTTCAGAAGATGAAAACTTGGTTCCTCTTCACATGGGCCTCTTCACCTCTTCATAGCTGCTGGGCTTCCATGTGGCATGGTGGCTGAATTCTAAAAGCGAACATCGAGGGAGAGAGAGAGAGAGAGAGAGAGAGAGAGAGAGAGAGAGAGAGAGAGAGAGAGAGAAAATGGCAGGCAAAAGCTGTATTACCTTTAGACCTAAATTTTCAAGTTACTAGCACAGCTTCCACCACATTTTACTTGGTAGATTTGAGTAACATAAACCATCTCACATTCAAGAGCAAGGGGCAGTCAACTCCACTTCTAGATGGGAGAAATGTCATAGAATTTGCCAACATCTTTTAAAACTACCACAGCACCCATAGGGTTCCGCTCACCCCCACCCCCACCAGCTGTCTTCCTTTCTCTTTAATTGTATGTTTAAATGTTCATGGGAATTAGCCTAGAGAACTCTAGTGAATCTAGGACAGGGCCAGGTAGGTCATGTAGCTGATGAGGTGAGGCGGGCGAGACTGCCACGTCATGGAGAGGATCTGTCTCTTTGAAGCAGATGGACTCAGCCTCCCAAGCCTCTAGTCTGGAACTTCTGCTTGTTCGAGAAGCAGAAGGAAATATCACCATTACCCACTAAACTTGGGCTGATTATTCTCCTCGATTACTTTTTAAGGACTGTATAGCTGGTAATATGATCCATAATGAGTCAAAATGGAAACATGCTTTCAGAGGATGTCCTTCATCTTTGAAACAGATGTTTAAATGACAGTGTTCAATGGAGGGCAGAAAGCTGGGTTAAAGGGAATGTGGACTGACATCATTTATAGATATTTTATGCTCTAATAAAGTAGATAGTATCCGGATAGGTCCTTCAGCTACATGTTCCACAAAATCCATGTTCCTGGTGCTGGTGTCTGCTGTTACAGGTCACTTAAAGGGTTGGTGTCTGTTTGAGGTATTCCAGCCCCCAAATTATGTTGGATGCCTGAGCTCTCAGCAGAAATGAGTAGCTGAGTTGCAAAGACATGATCTGAGAACATGGTGGAAATTCCCTGGGTAGAGTTGTCTTGAAATTCACAGAATCCATCATAAAATGCCATTTTCTGTGATTTCAAAGCCAAGTGCTGTTTTTCAGCAGTCCTTTAACCTTGCTCTTAAGGAAACTTAGCCAAGAGGATGTTGGTGAACTGTTTTGTTCAGATGGGTTCTGCATGGTTAAAGTTACATTTAATAGCTTCTGGCTTGTCTTTAATTTCAAATACAGAGGCGAAAGGATGTTATTTGGAGAGTCTTTTAAGCCCTTCACGCTGATGGAAAGAACATGCTTCAGTGCTTGTTGATCTCCCAGGTTTCTGAGAGTTGCTTTTTAGTCATTTAGAAACAGCTGAACAATTTTTGTATTAAATTCCAAACTCCTTTCACTTAGAGCTTCAACATCTATTAGTCAGCTGTCCGGCAGAGCAAGTTTTTCGTCTTATTCTAAAGACGGAGGCCATTTCTTTTATAAATATTACTGTCTGATGTCATGATGATCTATATTGTTATACTGATATTTATTGCAGCTATTTATGTTATGAGACCATATGCTGGGAGAAGGCTATGTCTGGGCCATTAGCCTTGGAAGCAGAAGCTTGTTCTATTGGATGCAGTATCTAGGAGGTGGTATATAATGTTTTAATTAAGCAGAGATTTTGTTACATTAAAATCTTTAGAAAGATTAAAGAATTATAATAAGATAACTGTCTAAAGAATAAGAAATGAGTCATTTTTATAAACTATGTATAACCAGGGGTTTCTTTCCTCTCACCCTTCCTTAGTGCTCATGGTTTGTAGAACTCTTAGGTAGGTGCATTTCTGGAGGATGCAAGATTAAAAATAATGTTACAGAATCTAGGCAGGAGAGCTGGCTCAGACCAGCAAGGCAGTTCAGGAAAGTTGAAAGAAATTCCTATTTACAAAAGAATAGATATGGCTAAAGAATACCAACAAAAGGTAAAATTCTGGGGACGCTACCACCCCTAGTTCTGTAGGGGCAAAGGAAGAGAACCAAACTGGATATAGAAGGGTCCACTGGATGGAGGCCTGACAGAGGAACACATCCATCCACCAGAGGAAGGCTTCCCAGGGAGTCCTCCAGTCTCTCCTGCCCCAACTGAAACCCAGACAGAGGGCAAGAAGCCATGTCACTTTCTGGGGACTGAGTTATTTTTCCAGCTACTCTGCATGCCACAGAAGACCCTACTAGCTTTAAGGAGTGGTGAAAACCAGAAACTCAGCCAGCAGAGCCTTTGTGTTACATCAGGGCCTGCGGGCCTGCTGAGCTTTCACTCAGGACAGAGGAGGCCGTAGTGGAATCTTAGTCAAAGGATGGCAGCTGTAAGAACCAAGGCATACGCCCATTTGGGCCACAGAGCAGAGTGGAGAAAGCTGGATAGTAGATATGGTGGGGCCATGGAAAATATCTGTCACAACAGATAATACAACCTACAGTTTGGGTTTGTTAATCTTTCCCCCCCCGCCCCCAACACAAGCTCATTTAGTGCATCTGGTTGTGTGATGAATTTAGCATGTTTCCCTTTGATAGGGTAGGGGTAAAAAAATCAGATTGCATAAAATTTCCCCCAAATTTTATTAACTTGGGAACAAAGGGAGTTTAAAACTTCCTATTTCTAGCTTTCTTCAGGCCATGATTTGGGGGGGTAGTATTTGGTATTAACCTTGTCTAAAGAAAAGGCAATCCTGGTTCTTTACCAGGAAATAAACCCTTAAATCCCTTCCTTCCCCTCAAAAGGGCCAATGGTAGAGAGAGCCCCCAGTTAGATTGCAGCATTCCTCACTGCCTGGTGATGCAGGAACAGGAGCCCAGAGGTCAGAGAACTCCTGTGATGAATGTGCTGTCTCAGAAGGATATTTATATGGTGGAGTCTGGCCCTCAGAAGGAATTTATATGGGGTTTAGAACAGTTCACACAATGCTTATTTCTCCAGGTAATTGCCTGTCCTCTGCATATCCAGAAGCAATTCACGGTAGAAGGGAAGAGCCTTTTACAGTTCCCAGTACATGCTAATTATTTATGTGATGTCTTGGAAAATTCGTATGATGGAAACAGCATGTGATGTTTTCTATGCATAAGAAGTCATAGGAATGTTCAGGATGTGACTTTTGAGAAGACTGACTACACATACAGTGGTTTTCAACATATCAAGTGGGTCTGTGGTGTTTCCCCTTCAGTCTGCACAGGACTTGGTATGTGGCATACTCAAGCGCAGTGTCTTAGAGGAATTCCAACTTCTTAGACTTTGGAATGAAGCTGGCTCCTTCTCCAAAACATAAAGATATGAAATATTCACTGACCTTGGGAATACAAATACATCCAAGGCTGTGTTAGGAAAAAGAGATGTGTATACTAATAGGTCATGGTCCCTGGAGGAGCCATGTCCAGCAAGCATGGCATGTAAAGTCCCAAAAGGGCTGAAAAGTTTCTTATGGTCTTTCATATTGAAAGTCACCTTAATTTGTTATTGGCCTTGAACTCGAATAGTCACATAAAGACCTCTGTGTGCAGAGTCAATCAATAGTGTTAATTGCACTTGTTTAATTCAACCATGAGAAAAATTAATCCTTTCATATGTGGCTGGTTTTCTGGATGACATTTTCTGCTGGTGAACCATTCCTTTTATTTTGCGATGGAAAGAAAGGTTAAAGATGTTTTTAATTAAAACTTTCATTCTTTTTTTCCCCTTCTCTAAAAATATGCTGTGGAAGAATACCATTTTAATTGAGAGAAATATTTAGCTCAATAAAACCAAAATATAACTGAGTATAATCAGGAAATGAAATAATCAGGACCAGACATCTGAAAGAACTCGCAAGGTTTCTTGCATTTATGCACACAAGAAATTTATACTTAGAGCTACAGTTTTTGCAGAATGGGCATTGACGAGTCTTGAAAATAAACCACAGGTTAGGCATCAGCTATATGCAAGACACTGGGCTAGTTTTAGAAATATAAGATGATGTTGGTGTCTTCATGAAGCTATTGTCTGATAGCAGAGATAAAATCCATGAAAAGTAATTAATCTACGAGAGATAGATAACTGTTCGATCAAAATTGTGCCCCAGAGCAGTACATGCTTCTCTCCCAGATAAATGGTACAGGAAATAAGGGCTTTATTCAGAAAATGGAGAGACGATTAAATAAAGGGCCAGAAGCAACTTGGAGTTGGAACTTGAGTTGGGTTTTTCAGGGTGGGTGGACTTGGATGGACTTAGCAGAGCCTTGGCACATTATGGGGGGAAATCATGAAATAACAGCTTAAAATGGGCAGGGATTGTTATACTCATATAA